ATAGCTCTTTGGTAGCCCAGTACTACAACATATTGCTTCAGTGGTTGCCTGTTTTGGAATAGTGTGGGACTGCCTAGCCCAAACTACTTAACATTGTGCTCATGACCATGTTATTCTTAGGTAAATCCAATTTAAATATTCTATTATTTTGTGTAAGTATATTCTTAATTTATGAACCAGAACGCAGATCAGACATATATTTCACTTGATATATTGAATATTTTTTCCATATTATTCATTATGCGTAAAAATAACCTCATAGTATTTCATGACATGACTCAGCTAAACCCCTTTACTTTCCTGTTGTCATACATTTGTTTCAGCGGATCTCCTATGAGAAGCAATGCAATGATGGACAAGGACAAAATTCTATTAGAGAAAATAGAAAATTATAGAGACTGAGACCAGTCTTGTCAGATCTTGGGAAGTAGAAAAGGATAAAAAGCCTGAGTGATACTGGGGGAAGCCTGAGAGGTATGATAATGAAAACAAAGTGGGCACTAGGAATGGAGGGAAGAGGTCAAGGTTATAATTTACCGGCCAATATAGCCTTTCCTAAATCATCCTTCTATTTGTTGGGAAGGTGCCCTTGGCTCTAGCAGAACTCTGAGGACCTATCAACAAGACTTCACTTGACCTGAGGAGAAAATATATTTTAACTACATATCTGTGGTTGACATGTGCTCTATTTATATTAGAAATATCTGGCTAACCACTTTTTGAAAATAGTAGCTAGAAATTCCCAGAGGACGTTTAGAAATATTCTATTTCTTGAGTATATATTCAAGATACAGTAAAAATGAATGAATCTGAACCTGAAACAATAGAAGACAAATACTTAAAAATCTGGCTGCTACTTCTACCTCTGCCCTAAAAACAAAACAAATGTGTTCTCTCGAGGAAAAAAAAAATGATTGCTAAATCTGGTGACCCATTTCTAGTCTTTATTTTTGCTGACCTGCCTTTTTCATTTATCGCTATCCTTGATGGTTCCTCTTCATGATCATGACCTGTACTCTTAGTTTCTAGTTTACTTCTCTCACTGCTCTTTCTCTGACCCATTTTTCATCTTTATAGTCAGGGTTACTCAGGATACTATCTCCTCTTGTATCTTCTTTTGCTGTCATTTAGCAAAGTTACCCATTTAAACTCTATTCCCAATGCAGATAACCCCCAAATTTGTGTCCAATCTTCACCTATTTCCAGATCATCAAAAAAGGAACTCAAGTTAAAAAAAAATAGACACCTAGAAAAATGCTGTAAAACAAAGATAAAGAGAAAAAACTATTAAAAGTAGCTGGAAGTGGGGAAGTTACATTCAGGAAAAACAGAGTAAGAACAAGGACTGACTTTTCTACAACAATGGAAGTCAGAAAATAATGGAATGATATCTTTGAAATATTGAAAATAAAAACCTGCCAACTTAAAATTAGGTAATATTTTTACCTCCCTCGTAGGGCTTGTATGAGAATTACATGGATTAATGTGATAAGTCACTTAGAACAGTGTCTGTCCCAAAATAAACTCTAAAGAAGTGTTTGTGACATAAAGTAAAAACTCCGTGGGTAATTGGGATTGCAAATTGCTGCAATCTTTCTTGGGAAAAAATTGCTAGGAAAAAAAATGGGATGTCAAACAGTCTAACCTAGGTGGTATTTATTTTCTTCTCCATACTTTTCTCCAATCATGAATTACTAATATTATGAAACAGGACAATGCTGATGGAAGGTTTGCTTCATGAGAACAGGGCCTTTGTGTAGTTCACTGCATCCTTCAGCACCTAGAACAGTACCTATTCAATAAATCAGCTCACACCATGGATTTGAGAAAATCCTTTCTTGATCATAATTTGCAATATTATGTTGCAACTGAGTAGAAAGAAAAAAAGGATGAACCATAAAGTCTAGACCAATTTAAATCCTTAAAAACGATTTGCATAATAGAAGTAATTCTGCAAATGCTTATATCTAAAGATAGTGTATATACCATGTCTTTCATTTTCAAAAGACTTCAGAGAGGAAGGCAAATGCATCATTTGGTACCCTTTTCTCTAATAGCCTTAGTGTTTTTTATAATTTAGACACAGAAAACTTTTTTTTTTCTTCTGGGGGGCATGAAGAATTGCATGAAAAAAAGAAGTATTCTAGCCAGGTTTAGAAACCTAAAAAGTCTGAAATGTTTAGGACCAAATCTTTTATTATGGTGCTTACTCATTACAAATCAAGAGTGTTAGGGCTAGTGGGGTACTTAGGAATCACCATCCCTGTACATTACACAGGAGGAAACTGAGCTCAGTGAGGTTACAGTGCTAATTAGAAATAGAGCAGGGCTAGAACCTAGGCTTTTAGTTGACGTTCAAGGTGAATTCTTAATGGACTCTGGCCTTGGCAGTTTTCCCTTAAATATCTCACTCGCTTTCTCCATGCAGACCCTTTCTCTATTAGCTCGTTATTGCTAATGGATGTCAGATACAGAGTTAGATCAAGAGCAGTACCAAACCTTTTCCTGGGAATACAGTGGAAAGTTGAGACTCGTCTCATGAAGTGAAAGAAATAGGAATCCTATGGGTATATTTTTTTGAGTATTAGGGAAAGATTTTTAATTTACAATAATTTTAAAGGGAGGTAGAGTTTAGTCTCATAAATGAGTTGCTATATTTCTTTATTCATCTAATAGATGGTTTTGGTAAAAGTATGGAAAAATCTAAAATTTAAACTTAAAATCAGACTTTTACTGTATATAAGTACTTCCTTCCGGAAAATGGTAACTTACTAAAAAAGTAAAAAATAATTTATGGTGACTACTCTAAGTATGCTTTTTTTTTTCTCTGCTCATCAATATTTCCTCTTACTTCGTTTTTTTTTTTTTTTTTCCTCTCACTTCTTTCAGATCTCCTAATTAAGATTACTGGAGACTAATATATTTTGAAAATCAAGTGATTCTTTTCACATAAAAAATACAAACATCTTAACTACTTTTGAATTCCTCCATCTCTTCAAAATATATTCCAGTTGACTCCAAATTTAATCATTTTAAATACCCCATCTATTAAATTTATTTTTTGTCTTTCCAAAGTATCCAATTATTTCTGACACTTTATTTCTTGACAAATGGTCTAACTCGCAGCCAGTTTTCTCCTCTATTTAATCTGCAGTCAGGTATGATGCTATGTGCCTAAAAATGTTATATCCTTAGGACCACCAGAGTTAGAAAATGAGTTTGTTGGGTGTTAATGTGAGTAATGGTCTTTTACTTTAAATGAGAAAAATATCTATAGATGATGCCTGGGAACTAATTTAAGTTATCTATGCATGCTTTTATGATCTGCCTCTCTTTTCCTTCATCACAATACTGTCAGAAGAAAGTCTCCAAGCATCACAAACTCTTCCACTGTATTTGAACTTTTTCCTCATTTAGTATATGTAGAGAATTAATCATATCTCAATGATAGTGATATTTCCTTATTTCCATTGTTAAAGAGAAATTATCCTGATGCTTGTTGAAAATGACAAGGAAGATTTTATTCAAGACTATTGCTGTAGGAGCCAGGACTATATCAGCTGGGGAGGGAGACTGAACTCAACGCTGAAGAACAAATAGGGGTGAGTGGGGGTTTCTAACTGGTAGACAGCATGAGGAAGAGGATGGCAAATTAATCAGGAACTTGCTTAGATGTTAAGGTGGGGGTGAGCTAGAAATCAAACTCGGTTAGAAATGAAAGGTGGAGGAAGAAGAGCTTGATTGGATCAAGAGTAAGGAGGATTCTCAATAAACTGGCCTGGGAGAGTCTTCTACTGAAACTGGTTTCAGTAGGTCAAGTTCAAGACCTGGGTGAGAAGAGGGCTCACAGGAGCCCGATTAAAGTTTGGTTAAGGGGATCCCTGGGTGGCTCAGTGATTTGGCGCCTGCCTTTGGCCCAGGGCCTGATCCTGGAGTCCTGGGATCGTGTCCTGCGTCGGGCTCCCGGCATGGAGCCTGCTTCTCCCTCCTCCTGTGTCTCTGCCTCTCTCTCTCTATGTCTATCATAAAATAAATAAATAAATCTTTAAAAAAATTTTTAAAAAAAGTTTGGTTAAGTAGGAATTTTTTGTTACTGTAACATTTCTGGGTTTGGATTTACCCACTAATAAGGACTAATTTAGAATGCCAGAGGTACCGTACTAATTCTTTTGTAGCTCTGGAAAATAAGCTCCATTATTATTAATACTGCTAATATAAATGAGTGACACCAACTGTCCTTATCAGAACAAAATCTTTTGGTAGGTCTGTACACACACTGACAGTTTGTTGCAAATGAAATCTAGGAAATCTGATCAACCTAGAGGATAATGAGAATGTTTGTAATATTTCCATTGTTCTGACTATTTGCCAGGCTCTGTCCTGAATCATTTTTATAAATTAGTTTTTTTAATTCTTGCTATAATCTTCTCAGGGAGGTACTATTATTAACATTATCCCAGGATTACAGACAGGGAAACTGAACCACATAGCAGTTACAAAACCCAACCAGAGTTACTTAATTGAACTACATGAGGGTTGTGATTGGAATCTAAGCCATATGACCTTGAGATGGTGGTCTTAACCACTGTGCATTCCCACTTCTATAAAACCCCTTACTCCTCATATCCCCAAGCAAACACATAGAACTGGGAGATAGGTAAAGGGGAGATCTATAGCTTTTGGTACATTCTTCGTATTCAGTACTTTTTGCCTCCACCACCTACTATAGTTCTTAATACATAACGAGTCATCAGTAATACTTATTGTGGGATAAATGAATGATCGAATGAGTTATAAGATGATGTTCAGTTTCTGATTGTTATGGAGATAACTGAGTTGGGTTTCTCAAACTCTGGCTTGCAAGGGCTGCAATAGCAACATTTTACGACAGAAGGCATTATCTGCATTTCATAACAGGTGATTGCAGGTGTCCGTGTCCGTGGAAGCCCAGCCCACAAAACCTTCCAGTGTCAGCTTGGGGTGAGCTGGACCTCAGGCACATGAATATAATAGTGCAATGAGCCTTTCTTCCAGAGGTACTAAAGCTCCCTTGAATGAAAGGCTGCTGGTCATGAGATGCTTTGGGAGCCCGTTCCATTGCTTTTTAGACCTAGTTTAAATTTTTCTGCCACATTTCCTGCTCAGTTCTTATTCATACCTCCTTCTGATCCTAGGGAACCTGGAAGTGGGAGAAACACGACGAGAAGGTAAGAGCAAAACAAGCAATGAATGAAGTTCCAGATGTTGCTAAAGCTAATAGGAGGAGTGACAAGCTAAATGAGTCTTAGGGCGAGAGACCTCATTTTCACTTTTGCTTGGTTTCGACCATAGCTCACCAGAACTCACTTATCCTAAGAAATCAATGACTAATTTCCTGTGAAGTAGAATCAATGAATCTGCAATGTTCTACATTGGTTAAAAATGATTGTTTGGTTTACTTTGGGCTGTGAAGTATAAGCCAAATGATTGTTGCGAGTTATTGAGATGTTTGAATGAAGAAAAAAATGTTTTCTACGGTAACACCATGACATGAAATGCTGGACTTTCTCTGGGACCAGGGGAAGGGGTCGTGGGGGTGGGGAAGGGGTGGAGATGGTTGTCACCCATCTCTGAAACTCAGTTCTGCCCTGAGTATGTGTATTACCAACTGTCACTTTGGAACATCTGGTGCAGATTTAAAGGCTAAGCATTTTCATATGGGATTCAAACATAGGTTATAGTAGAAAGAACTCGAGAGCTCCAGGGAAGAATATGATATTTCAATTGTATTTGATCACTTTATTAAAATTGCCTAGAAAAATCGATTAAAAAACAGAACTTAATTTTCATACTCAGAGCAGAGGTTATTCATTCTAGCTCACAGCTAACAATAGATGTGTGCATGTGTGTGTGTGTGTGTGTGTGCGCGCGCGCTTAAATAATCAACCCCAAAGTGCAGAAGGCTGCCTGTTCCATTCTGGTTGGGTATGGGGGAATTGGAATAGGGCCTTCATTCCATGAATACTTCACCTCCTGCTTTGTTTCATGGCCTTTCCATGGAACATATTCAAACCATATATGTGCCAAACTAATAAGAATTAGGCTGAAACAGTGTTTTTAAAAGTCATTTGAAATTGCAAAGTGGAATTAATGCCATTGAATGAAAGCTGTGTGGTTTATATAAATTAACAGAAGGGTCACCAAGTGAGTACTTGATGGCTTCATGTTCTTTTTTTGAGCAAAGGGATATAAAAATAATATAAATTACCAAGTAAATAGTTAACTTTGTAAAATGAAAAACTCTGGGGCAAGTTACCTTCTTTGAGCCTTGGCTCTCTCATCTGTAATAATCATACCTGCCTCATAGAATTATATTAGGGTTAAATGGGATACTGCATATAAGGCCCTTAGCAGAAGGCTCGGTATGAGCAGTCTTAGCTACTGATGTTTTTGCTATTATTGTGGATCAAAGTTTATGGTTATAGGATAGCTCTAGAAACATTATGCTCTAAATGATTAGCATATATTTTTCCCAGTGGTAAAATTGAATGGAGGGGCTCTTGGAATGCTCTAGAATAATGATTTCAGTGGCAGGGTGGGTTATATCTCAAGGAAGGATCAGAACTTATGTAGGTCTCTGGCCTTTCCAGCTACTCATTAAGACCATGGGACAAATGTTGATGTGGAAATTTGAAAATAAGCAACAAATGAGGGCAGTGATCTTCTCCCTGGAGTAGAGCTAGCAGTTTTGCCCAACAGTTGTCAATTAGTACACCTTTGAGCACCTCGAGGCCTTACCTTGTTTCAAATCCAAAAATGATTGCAGCCTGACTGATTTCCAAACTAAATAACATGTGGAGGTGACGGTGCATGCTCTCTACCCTAAAAAATACGTAGCCAACGTTACCTTATTGGCTTCATGTAGAAGGAAACAGACTCTGGAAACAGAGTTCTCACATTCAAAATCCCACTCTTCCTCTTTCAACTATCAGACTTGTGCAAGTTACTTAAGCTTCGGGGCTGAGAGTTGTCATTGATTACCTCATGGACTTATAGTAATGATCCTATGAGAAAATAGTTATATGTCAACATGAGATATTTGTCTGCAACATAGTGCTGCATAAATATTAGTGATCATTTTATTTATTTTGTTGGATGATATTTGCACTGAGAAGTGTTAAAAGATAAACTGAGGCATATTAAATATGTTAAGGGTTGATCTGAGTGAAAATCAGTTAGAATTGGGTGGTGCTAAGCCAGAAGCAAAGCAAAGATATTATTTGATTAGCTATAGCTTATATGGTTGCATCATTTATGAAAGCCAAGTTGGTTATTTGTGTTTGGTTGTCCTTAGGTTTCAATTTCTTAATGTTGAGGCATTACAGGCTAGGTTTGGTTTGCTCATGTAAGGTAGGAAGGCATTAAAGCCGCTTCTGTCTAATGGCCTCCTTGTTTAACAGAAGTTAGATATCATTCTGGTTTTATTACTTAGCTTCCTCCATGAGTTAGGTTGACTCAGAGTAAAGAAATTGAGAGAAAGGAAACTCCATGAGTTAGGTTGACTCAGAGTAAAGAAATTGAGAGAAAGGAAAATTAGAGGTCTTGTTCTCCAAACCCATCAACAAGCCTCTATACTTGCTTCCTCTATTAACTTAATAGTATGGGATCTGAAAATTGCCTTAAGATTTAAATTATTACTCTTTTCACTTCTAACGGAAGGTTCGCAAAATACTGGGACAAGGTCTTTGTCACTAAAGTAACTGTAAGGAGTTAATTAGCAAAAGTTCATATGTAAATTCTGCTCTGGAAAAGCTTAAACTCTAAGTCCCTTTTCCAAACTGTTTTGGAAACACAAATCTATTTGGGATGGTAAGTTTCTTTTAAAATGAGATTCTAATCCATCCCAAATCATTTTGATGTAGTATTGTAGAGTAGGCCTATATCTTCTTCCCCTCTTCTCAGAGAGTTTGAATCTGTATCTAATTTTCACACTGTTTTTCGTTCCACCTTGAAATCATTTTAGTTCTAGTCTCACCCTGATTTGGAGATAGTGTGTGGAGCCTCTGAATCCCACGAAACAGATATTTTGAGTAATGATGTAGGAGACTACTAAATTCTTTTAGAGCTAAATGGTACCATCTTTTGGGAAGATGGTGGAGATATCCTGGTAGAGCATCATCCAAAAGCATGATGAGGTGGTATATTAGAAAGAACATAGAACATAATTAATCTCTTTATCTTACTTAGGCCTTTAAAAACTATGATTCGAAGATAAAATTCAAAGCAAATGTCCCTTTCCTTCTTTATTTTTTTTTAAGATTTTATTTATTTATTCCTAGAGATGCAGGGATAGAGAGAGAGAGGCAGAGACACAAGCAGGCTCCATGCAGAGAGCCTGACGTGGGACTCGATGAGGGTCTCCAGATCACGCCCAGGGCTGCAGGCGGCGCTAAACCGCTGCGCCACCGGGGCTGACCCCTTTCCTTCTTTAAAAGGAGGTAATTTCTTCTATCCTGGTGAAGAAGGAGAGATCCCTTAGAGTATAGAAGTGTCCTGATTCCTGCAGGGCACCCTCTGTGCTGTAATTGTTATATTTCTGACCTCTGGTGTTTGTCAACAGATTTGGCTCCTTGGTTGCTAAGAACTAGAGAAATATTTTGTTCAAGGCATTTTGATTGGCAGTATTTAAAAAAAACTTAGAAAACTTCGAGAAGGGAATTTAAATTAAAGAAAATAGAAACATCATAATGAAGCTATTGAAAATTAAACAATGTTAATACAATCAGATATGGTTTATCCATTATCCCTGATACAGTGGTTTCATATTATCTGTTTAACTCCTGACAATTAATGCGAATTTCCCCCCTTTCATCTTTCGTAGGGTTAAAAAACAATGAATGAGCAGTCTTAAATTATGCATAAGAAGTAGGTTCCTTTTCTTTCACAATTTGCTTCTCTACTGAGCAGGTAATTGTGTATTTACAGAATTTGACCCAAGACTTTCCACCTCATCCTTTTTGCCATTTTGCCTTTTATATGGGGATATTATAACTGTCTCTAATCAGTTTTGTCTGGGCAGATTACTTTATTAAGCAATCAATTTTTCAAGAATGCTATGAAATAAGAAACTTCAGTGTCAGCCCAGGAAACATTTAAAAAATGCAGCATTCTCTTGACTGCAGGAAAAAAAAAATTCCTAAGAATTTTTATGTTGCATTTTACTTTCCAGGGCAATTAACACCTGCCCCATTCTGGACTTAACACCAAAGCAGAATAATAGCCACAGACTGTGCATATTGCCTTGGTACTCTGGTAAAGTCAATCTAATTGACTTCCATTTTGTTTTCTTTTAAAGAGTGGGTTTTTTAAGTCATGTAACCTTTACCAACCTATCTACCTTTTCCTTGGCAAAATATTCTAATAGTCCTACCTTTGATATAGATCTTTTTTGTTTCCAAAAGAAACAAAAAAAAATCACCAGGTTTTGTACTGTAAAATATTAGAGTTATATCTCTGTTTTCTCTTCTGAAAAATGGTACCTCCTCATAGAGTTACATTTACTTTAAAGTTTTAACTCTTAAGCAAGTTATTATTTTTAAGTATCATACTACCAAAAACACTTCATTTGAGAAACTTGCCATAAAATTGATTATTTCAGGAGTGACTCATTCCAATTTTTTTTCATCATATTCTCATAGAAAAATCTGAATCTTCCCCGAGGTGTGGATATCTGGACTGGCATCTGCAGCCACTTAGAGTAAAACTCATAAAAGAGTGTCTTTGTTTTAGGCAGAAGAAAAACAGAGACCATTTACAGAAACTCAGCAATGTTCTGTCTGTAGCTACTCAGTCTTGACATTCTTTGCACTGGTTGTTTTTAAAAGCATATCCACACGTGATCGAGTGTATTTCTAAAGCCCATCTTCCCCGCTGAGTATGGCATGTGCAGTTTACCTGTTGTGTGATAATTCATATATTTGGAGTTGCAGTCCGTTTTTAATTCTTCTAATGACAGAGAAACAAAATAAGATAAACTCTGAGGGTCCTGCAAGATCTCCGCTATTTTTTAATAGGTCCCTATGAGAAACTCAAGTGTGAGGCTTGGAATTCTGATTTTTTTAAAAAAAAAAAAAGATTTTGTTTGGGGGCACCTGGGTGGCTCAGTGGTTAAGTGTCTGCCTTTGGCTTTGGTCATGATCCCAGTGTCCTGGGATCAAGTCCCACATCA